TTACATCAACCAATCAACTTGCGTAATTACATCAACCAATTATTCAATTAGGATCTTTCCAGATTCTCAGTACCATTTTGAAATTAGAAATTTTTTGAAACAATCTAACCTAGTGCATTTCAAATTTACTAGGAAATGAAATCTACAAATCTTCGAAATTGCTGATAGTGAAAATCAACATATGGTTAAGAGAAGTATTATCCCTCACAATTATTATAGAATAGTACGGGATACCCCACCCCTCCAAATTCAAATGTTTATATTCTTCACTTCAATCGCTACTAATGCCATATGAGCTCTCTCACATACGTACTGCTAATGATCTTCATTTCATTCATTTTACCCAACCTGTTATGAGTCTCTACGCTCACCACACTGCGAATCACATATGTTGTTCAATCACATAAGATGTTCACAAGCAGAACTTTATAAATTCGCATTTTTAAAACTTCGCAATTCATAAGGAGCGCCACTTCCAGATCAAAACTCCTGCTGATTTTTCAAAAAGCAAATGTTTTTCACTCATGTCAATATTTTCATTTCAGCAAACTTTGCGAGCCCATTCATCTCGAGGAATCATCTGTACCTCTTCTATGCTCACGACTATTCGAGATTCTTATTAGTCCCCCTAACAGGTATGGATGTAATTATTCTAGATTTTGATACTATAGCGATAATTTTCTGGTAATTTTTGCTTTTATCACCAAATGCCTAAAAATAAGTCGAAGTTGAGTCGTTCTCCATTTTATAGAGCATCGCAAGAAAAAGCAACCTCTGGATAGTTAGCGTCTCCCCCATCTCCAATTCTATCAGACCTTACTGATTTATTTTTAAGGTTGTCTAAACTTAGACTTCTATTTACAGTCAGCTCTCCTCGTTGCGGTTGGGCTGCTTACAAAGTTGTAGATGACTCACCGTATAAAGCACCATTGATTTTAGCCTGAAAATGGTCCTAATAGCCCTGAAAACTTGTCTGCTGGGGTCAGATAGTCTTAGATAACCATTTATTGTCGTAATGTGCACAAAATTATTCTTAACGGCAGCATTCGAGTCACCAATGACTTGACACGTAATCCAAGCGTAGTGGAACGAAGTACAAAAGTTGTTTCAAAAATCTGAGATCAAGCTAGATCAAAATGAATTATTCAAGTCTGAAGATCTGCAATCAAAAAGGTTACCACGAGCAAATAGGACACACTGCTTTGTACATTCAGAAGTACCGTTTGATTTAGTTGAAGAGTGAAAAATAAACCTTTTATTGTTTGAACTCTTCAGCGGTGGTTTTTTTTTTTTGAAATCACTTCATTATTGATTACTAAAGATGTTCTTCTGTGTGTTAGATGTAGCATGTCACAACAATTCTTTACTTCGTTCTGCTAATGGTAAATTTATTTTAAATTTCCTGTAATTTATTTTTTCACTCTAAGGCGAAACTCACTTGGAGTGTTTATAATTCTAATTAGCAAATCTCGAATGTCAAGAGTAATAATGTATCCTAACATTTTGTACTCCTCTCCGTTTTTGTTTTGTTATCAAGCTGACAAGTTCTCCAACCTAGCACTTTTGTGTAAAATCAATTATGTTACCAACCTGATAACCATTTTTCGCCAAGAACCGCGTTGGAGAATATTGATCAGTCAGATATGAGTAAAACTAAGTAGTAACATGGCTTCCTGCCGCAGCTTCCAAATTTTTAGCAATCCGGCTTGCGGAATCGTCTTTGAAAGGGTGAGAAGCTAATTTACACTTAATTGGCTCAAAACTTTTACGAGTGGGTTTAGGTGTGAGAAAATGTTCGCACGAAACCAAGACCTTTGCCGGCATACCTTTTTTAAGCAAACCCATTAACTGCAGTACTACCAACCCAAATATGTTTGAATATAATCTCTCTCATGTCGATCGAGTGTTAACTGCTCCAACATTCTGATTAAACGGTTTTCAAATAAGTTCCTGAGTTCCTTCCTGAGTCAAAATTTTTAAAGAAACCGGTTGTTTTGGCAGCATTGTGTAGCATTCAAAAGTAGAAGTTTCCGCTATAAAAGTATGCTTGTTTTAATCCAAAATTTTTGTCTTGTTGCCAGAAATGCTTATAAATATGT